GACGCTCAGCCCTGAGCGCTTATTTTCCACTCGCATTCCTCCTGTCCTCAGTTTTGTAGAAACATTGACTTCTTTCCTGTTGTGAAGACTGGAGAAGCTGAGCTCACACAGGAGCCAGAGCCACCAAGGCTACTGAAGTGATTTTTCTCCTCCTGGAGTAGCTGGGTTTGTTTTCCTGGGACTGATGATGGTGCTTTCATAAGAGGCTTTAAAGATAGATAGGACCCAAATTTGTGAGACTCCAATTTTAGCTGCATATCTCATTTTAAACACACTGTTAAGAGCATGTGAAAGGTTGGGAGTGGTCAGAGGGTGTGCAGGAGAGGATGCCTGGGGAACTGTAAGAAAGAGCAAATACCCTTTGACTGTTTCCTTGAACAATATCTTGCCATTTGTGGCTCCCATGCTGGAGGCAGTATCTTTGAAGCTAATAGCCTCGGATGGGCTTTTTCTTCCCTGAATTTGTTACATGGGGTGATAATAATCAGATAAATGAGGAAATGGCATAAATGAGGGCAAGGAGTAGGCTGGAAACGGGACAGGCAGTGGGAGAAAATGCTAACTCATGGACACGCAGGGTGAGGAGCATGTGTCTGAAACCAGGAACCTGGTGCAAAATGAAGGAAGCAGAACCAGTGCTGTGGGGCACAGCCCGCCTGTCAGAGGGGTGGCAGAACCACCAGAACTGCATCCCAGGCATGTCTCTCAGTCCTCCCATGCCTTTTAACAGCAATATCCCCTTCAGCTGTACTGGGATGATGCTGGCCATGCACTTGCTCTGCTGTCTGAGCGGATGGGTTTTGCTCTTTATCGCTGACTGAACTGGAGGTGCTGCTGTTTTTATGTTGCTTTGGCCATGCAGGGAGGGCACTGCAGAGGAGCAGCCTGTGGGAAAGAGCTTTGTTCTGGGAGGGAGCTGATTCCCCTTAAACTGGCTGGAAGAGGAGAAAATGGATTGGCAGTGACAGGTTTAATTTCCAAGTGGTGAGGGTGGAGGAGTTAAGGACGCTAATTACCAAAGTCAGCTGGAATGAACAGTTAAAGGGCTTTGACATGGTGGAGACTTGAAGACAATGGTTTCAAATGAAGGAGAAGTGATGGGTTTAGTTTATTCAAGATAGCAAGAGAGCTGGTAGAATTTCTCCTAGGAAATAGGTCTGCAAAGGAGGGGTTGGTTTTCAGAAACAGCTTTTGCAAAGCGAACCCAGCAGCTCAACCCGTATCTGCTGGATATGGGGAGGTCACTGCGGGGACATCTAGAAATTGTGCATGTTTTACAATCAGCCGTCACACCGCCTGTTTCCGAAAGCCACCTGAGACTTCCCGCTCCTGGGGCCACCTCGTAAATTCCTCTTCCCCATCTGGTTCTCTGCAGGGTTTTTAAAACAAGGCTGGGCTGAGACTTTGGCAGATTCCCCAGGGCCGGGGCGGGGGAGCCAGGCTGTGCCATGAGGCACCGGCAGCCCCAGCCGCACTGCAGAGCCCGCAGGCAGCGCCCGGCCCTGCCGGGCTCCCATTTACTGTCCCCCAAATGGCTTCCTGCAAGTTTTCTGCAGGACTTGAAAGGCTGTGCTGGATGCTGGGTGCTCCAGGGGGATGACTGCATGACCCATTTAGCAGCCTGGCTGGGCACCGTTCCCTGCAAAAGCTATGGCAGCTCTCTGATGCTTTTTGAAGTTTTCAGGTGAGGAAGAAGCAGCTCTCTGGCAGCTGCCATGCTGAGGCCTTTCTTTTTTTTGCTTGTTCTTGAGGCATCCTAAATAAACTGTATTTTGGGCTCTACCTGCCGAAACAGATGTTTTCCCTGTAACGAGACTTCAAAGCCATGTGCCTGCTGCTCTCTTCCCTCTGCATCCCTGCTGCTCCTCTCTTGCCTTGTGCTGAGTTTAGAAAATTTCCCTCATGGCCAGAGAACATGTCACTTGGGTTCAATTTTAGTGGTCAAGGATGCTCCTGACCTGGAGAACATGGCTGCCCAGAGACCCTCCCTGCTACCCATGGTGTCAGCTCTGCCTTGGCTCCTGCCCATTCCAGCTCACTGCAACCCCTCTGACCAAGGGATGCTTCTGGATTTTGGCTCCAGCTGGCACTTCTGCGTGTCGTTATCAAGTTGAGTTGCTTCAGAGGTAGCTTCTGTGCCGCTTCTCCCTAACAATTTCCTCCACCTCCCTTCAGAAAACACCATCCATTAGGCTGTGAGCATGGCCTGCACCACAGGGACCTTGAGGAACAGTCCAGCAGTTAATAAATTAAAAGCTATTTCATTATAGGAAATGAATGTTTAATGAGCATGGCAAGATGTCTAGACAGTCCTTTGGTTCCAGGATCTAGGTGTTCTTGGAGGAAGGTTCAGCCACTGCAGCTAGTGCCAGCTCAGTGCCGGGAAGAAGGTTTGACAAAGCGTTCCTGGGCAGTGAGGTCCCTGCCCAGGACAAACATCCTGGCATAGCAAGGGTTTCCTGCCCCCACGTATTCTTATGGCAGATGCCCCTTGTGCCTCTCTGCACAAAGCCCCAAGGAACTGTGGCTGCAGTGGGACTGCTGGTAGCGGGGAGGCTTGGCCACATGTCTGGCCCCAGCCAGGAACACACTCTTCTGCTCCATGGCACCTCACCTGGGGGTCCTGCAACACCCAGGGATTGGGAAAGGTCTTTGTGGTGTCTAGGACACCTTTGCCACATTGTGGGCTCTGCAGCTGTGGAAAGAAACCTGGGCTGAAATGGGGACAGCTGACAGGATGAGGGTGAGTGGTTGTCAGTCTCTTCACCCTGCCCCAATGAAGATTATAACTACAGAAAAAGGGGTTTAAGATACAGAATTTTTAATTTAAGTTCCCAAAAGAACCCTCTATCATGCTGGAAGTGCTAATTGTCCCCTACAGAAACCTGGTGTAGATGATGTCTGAAGTTGTAGCTGCCTGACAGGGACAGACAGGAGCACATCAGCTCCTCTGCAAAAGCTCTTCAGCTCCTGTCCCAAGAGCAGAGCTCACTGGTTGTTTGCTTGGCCTGTCTCAGTCTGAGCAAGCACAGACAAGAAGCTCTAGGCTACCCAGCAGTGGCAAGAAGATGGAAATAATGCATTTTGACTTCATCTCAGGAGCTGCCTGCTTGGCTCTGGGGATGGCAGCAGTGAGCCAGCCCAAGGCACTGCTGTGCATGGCATGGGAGATGCTGGTCAGAAACCCCACCATGCACCCACCCTGCTCTATCCCCCCATCAGCACCCAGAGCATCCCCTGCAGGGGTGCCCAGCCCAGGGACGTGCTTTCTTGGAGCCATCAATAGGGAGATATTCTCAGGGGCACCTCACTGTCCCTGGAAAGCAGCAGGATTTTTTAGGAATGGGACTGATGCCACAGAATCTGGTACTGGGTCTCTGGGCCCAGAGTGTTCCACTGGGTAGAGTTCTTGGCTCCCAGGGGAGCTCCTTGGTTCCTGCCCTGGCCACTCTCGAGAGCAGCCCCAAGTCAGAGAGGGTACCCAAGTGCCTGGGGACTGCTGTGGTGCCACGTCCCCAGGGACTGTGGCAGTAACTGCACCTTTGTGCCTGGGGGGGGGGAAAGGAAATTAATATATTTTTACTTTCCCTTAAGTGGAAGGTGGTGCAGTCTCTCCCCCTGGGGCATTTCACTCCCGCTTTCTCAGACCCTGAGATTTCTGCAGGGTGGCCACCCAAGGTCTGTCAACTCATGGCACCTACCGTTCCCTCCTGGTGGCTCAGAGGGCTGGTGGGACCTGGGGACACTGCAGGAGGCCAGTAGAGAGTGCTGGGTGTTCTCTTTTGAGGGTGTTTATTTTGGTTTTCTATCCCTTTCGGTCGTGTTTTCCCTCTCCACTCCATCAAGGTTGGGACAGCAGTGGCACAGGCAGGGCAGCCTGATGGGCTGGACTCTGTGGCCTCTGGTCTCCTGCCCTCTTTTTCTGCAATGGCTGTGATTGAGAAGCCAAAATACAGTGTTGATAGATTGGCTCTGAGCTCTGCTAGTGCACAGAAATACTTTCTGGGGGCCTGCTTTGGCAGCAAGTCTGTGGGGGAGCTGCTCGAGGCAGGAAGCAGGAACCACAAAGCTATATATACAGCGTCACTGCTGCTGCTTTTGATGTGACAAAATTAAGGTGGCGTTTTGTAAAGAAATGCAGCATGTCACTTTCCTCTGGAGCCCCGGGCCTGGCTCCTGGGTGGGCCAAACCAGGGAGATGGGTGAGGAGCTCTTGTCACCTCTGAAAGCCATGGGTTGCTGGAGGCCTGTCACCGTGTCCCTGAGCTGTGGGGAGCAGCCCACGTGTCTGGGGTGCACGGCTGGTGCACTGCCCACCTGGCTTTTGCTGGGCCTTGAGCTGGTTGAGATGGCGGCACGGCAAAATGCAAGTGGCCAGGGGGTGACATCAGGGTCTGGGCAAGTGGAAAGCATCCTTGAAGTTATGGAGGAGCCACAAAAATGATCAGAGAGCTGGAGCAACTTTCCTATGAGGAAAGGCTGAGGGAGTCAGAGCTGTTCAGCCTGGAGAAGAGAAGGCTCCAGGGAGACCTTATTGTGGCCTTTCAATACTTTGAGGGAGCCTGTAAGAAAGATGGGGACAGACTTCTCAGCAGGGCCTGTAGGACAGGATGAGGGGGTGATGGTTTTAAACTGAAAGAGGGGAGATTTAGACTAGATATTGGGAAGAAATGTTTTACCCTGAGGGTGGTGAGACCCTGGCCCAGGTTGCCTGGGGAGGTGGTAGATGCCCCATCCCTGGAAACATTCCAGGCCAGGTTGGATGGGGCTGTGAACAACCTGATCTAGTTGAGGATGTCCCTGCTCGCTTGCAGGGGGTTGGACTAGATGGCCTTTAAATGTCCTTGCACCCCAAACCAGCCTGTGATCCTATGAGACAGTAGCTGTCACCCACAGGAGATGTGTCTCAGCCCTGAAGGCCACTCACCCCCCAGAGGACAGGCAGCCCCCTGCCCTGGGCAGGTGAAGCCCTGCCCTGCCTCTCCTGTGCTGTTTTGCAGAGCGGGGCTGACTACAGCTTCCTGGTGAGCCAGAACACGAAGCTCCTGCGTGCGCTGGAGGACCTGCAGCACCGCTGCTCCAGCCTGGCCCAGGAGAACAGCCTGCTGGTGAGCAGGGGCTGCAGCCCGTGCTGGGCTGGCTGCTGGCGGGGGATGCTCAGCAACCAGCTGCTGCCAACTGCATGAGATGCTGGCACATGGGGAGGGCTGGGGGGGGAAATATGGGCCCAGGTTTGGGTGTCCTGGGTGCTTTGGGTCCCCCTGGATGCCTTCGCATTGCAGCCAGCGTTGGCTGGAGCAGGACCCCATCCTGACAACGTGGAGGGGAGCCAGGCCCCTCTGCTGCCCCAGCTGTCTTGCCCTGGAGCTGCGTTCCTGGGGGAGCTCAGCAGAGGCTTCAAGGCCTGCCAGGTCAGGCAGAGCAAGGCAGCAGAGCTGGCGGCCAGGGAGGGGAAGTTGCTCTGTTTCCTCTTTAATTGGAAAAGCAGAAACACCAATTCTCTGGGCTTTAGGGCAGTGCAGCACTGCCCCTGCTCCCAGGGGAGCTCGATGCCCAGCTCCTCCCCAGCTGCACCCCAGCACTCCCAGCCCACGCAGGCTGCCAGAGCCGGGCCCACCTCTCCTGCCCTGCTCCCCCACCCCTGGCTCCCCAGGCCCATGGTGGGCAGTCAGGACCCTCAGGAAACACAAAGAAGGGCTGTTCCCCTCCTGTATCCAGCCCACAGACCATCAGCCCCCATACAGCCCAGCAGTGTGGGCATGTGGCCACTTCAGGCCCCTGAAAATTTCATTGCTCAGCAGCTCAGATTGAAACTAGATTATGTTTAAGGTCCCTTCTAACCAAAAACATTCTATTATTTCAGATTTATATCACCAAATTCGAAACACACATTTTAGATAATGTTATTCCAGTAAAAGCACAAGTTCAGTATGACCTACACCCTTAGGGGTGTAGGGGGGTTACCCATTATCAGGCATCTGGATTTGAGCAAAGCACTATTGTGTAAGATCTCATCAAATCTTACTTGCAAAAATCTGCCTCAGTCTTCCTGC